CTCGTGTGTAATTGGTTTATTCATTGGACCTCACCTCCCTCTGAAAATTTTGTTCAACATATTGTTACCTCACGTTGGATAAGGAGAGGTGAAATTAGGGTTCATAGCTCGGGGCCGTATTTCTTGTTCGAATGTAGGCACAGCCAGGATCTTGAGGGGCTTGTAGCTGCAAGCTCAACTGTTATGGATGGAAGAATCATTAATCTTAGGAGGTACCAACTTGATTTTGTATCTCACCACATGAACTTCACGCAAACAAGAGTTTGGGTGAGGGTTTATGGGCTACCTTTAGCCTATCTTACATCAAGCTGGGCAAGGCAAATTTTTCGGCACGTGGGATACATTGAGGAATTAGAGCATGATGGAGAGGATCTCCCCATACATGGTGAACTAAGGGCGCGAGTCCTAATCGACCTCTCTATTCCCCTAATACCGGGGTGTTTTATCCCCTTGGAAGGAAATAGAGTGATTTGGGTGTATCTGAGATACGAAGGTATCTATAAATTTTGCAAATCGTGTGGATGTGCAGGTCATGCCACAGCCCGGTGCACTCTCCATGCAGCCGTCACAAGAAGAAGGGTCAGACGTAGATTAAACGAAGTGGAATTGGATGGGTTAAGAGTATTATATGGTCCAGCCGAATATCCATTCTATTCGAATCTTAATCGAGGGCTTCCGGACTGGTATAGGTTTTGTAACACTGAGTAGGACCTTCGACCAGTGGAAAATCCGGGGGAAAACCCCTTATATGGGGGAGGGCAAATGGAGGAGAGGGGTTTTGAAGAAGGGCACCCGTATGAGGATTCTTTGGCTTCTTAGGAAAGTGATGAGAGTGAACATTTTCACTCGGGGAGGGATGAATGGTCGAATGACGACTCGGAACTGATTGAACGAGAGGTGGAAAGGATGGAACCGGACCTCACCCTATCTCCGGGGAGACGTCTGGGTCTATCTGGAGATCCATATGCTGAATTCGTGCATCAACAATGGCCTGCTCCAAATTCAGTAGGGCATGATGAAGGAAACATGAGAAACTCCAGTGAGGGGATTCGAATGGTTGTTGCTCAAGGAGATTCGCCAGGAAGAAGGGAGGCATCAAGCCTAAGCAGACCCATAGGAATACGGGGTTCGGTGGGGAATGAAACCATAAATCCCCCAATTCCGACTCGGTCTTTCTTTGCGGGTTCAACGTTTGAGGTAGGTGAACCATCCTCAATGAGACAAGGGCAACAACAAGGAGGGGGGCCAGGGACTATCTTTCACACTCTGGGGATTACTGATTGGGCAACCTCGCCTATCGAGTTCGAACGAAACAATGGGGTTATATATGGGAATGTAGGTGCAAGGAGCACGGCTATGGTTGCTACCTTTGATTCTCCTGCTTATGGGTGGCTAGAAAGTCCAGCGAGAATGACAATTAGAAGAATTGAGGAGGAGGAGCAGCGTGTTGATGATGAGTATGCAAGCATTATTGAGGCAAGCACCATCTTGTCTTTGGGAATACGAAATGCAAGGAGGACTGAAATCCAGGAAATTCATAGAAGTGCAAGAGCATCAACGTCGCCATTTCTACGGCTGTCCGCAACAGACTTGGCGGGACTGCCAAACCTCCCACTCTCGGAGTTTGATCCCCCTAACACTCCGGTATCGCATTTTAGTTCTTACAATTTTACAGATTTGTTTAATTATGATGACAGTGCAAATAACAAGAAGATAATTCGGGAGGCAGTTGGTCACTTACCACATTCATGTGATGGGGACTCAATCCAATACAGCGAATCGGATTATGAGTGGGTTGAGCGGAAGAGACTCAAGAGGCTTCACAGGTGGTCTGAAAAGGGTGGATTTACAATATGGCTCAAAGACGAAAAAGGAGCATGTAGGTTTGCATCAAAGGAAATTTCTGATCCCGACATGACTAGGGAGTTTGGAGTAGATATCGATGGGGACCTCCGTATGAGGGGAAAAAATAAGAGGCCTCAAAACTGTTCATCTTCTTCTTCCGGGTCCCCTAAAAGGCAAAAAAGTGAGGAGGTAACATCGACACTTAGGGAAATACGGGATGATATGGACATCGATCTATAGTTATCTATCTTTGACTCAATCAAGCTAACAACGGAGGGTGAGGAGGCTGCTCTAACTCAGCCCCCGAAGGAATTATGAATATTGTGGCTTGGAATTGCAGGGGGTTAAATGATCCACACACCCTTGCAATCCCATATCTAGTGTGGCTCTATTAGTCTAAATTACCTATGTTTTTATTTGTATCAGAAAACAAAATGGATTTTGCCTCAGCGGCAGCTAGATTAGGTGCTCTTGCCCCTACTACCACTTTTGGGTGGGATTCGGAAGGTAGTAGTGGTGGTCTTCTTGTTTTAGGATGGTCTAATGCGGAAGTTGTTTGCTTGTATTCCTCAATTAATTTTATTTTATGTAAGATAAATGAATCAAATGGCAGTTTGAAGTATGTTTTGTTTTTTTATGGTGAACCTTAAGTAGACAAGAGAAGAATTGTTTGGGAACAATTGCAATGGTTTTTAGAAGAATTTAAAAACGTACTTGTTATAGGGGATTTTAATCAAGTTGAAAGGGGAAGTGACAAACTAGGGGGCTCGAATCGGATTAGAGGAATTGAGGCGTTTCTGGATTGGAGGTTTAGTAGCAATGTGACAGAAGTTCCGTTCTCGGGTCCGAAATTCACTTGGAGCAACAAACGGGAAGGGGACGACCTTATTCTAGAAAGGCTAGACCGGGCCTATATAACAGAGGAATGGTTTGATCACTCTCCGGATGGGAAAATTAATCATGAACCGATAGTTTGCTCTGACTATGCAGCAATAACTTATCATGAGCAACCTAAAGTTTTGACTTCAAATAGACCATACCAAATTGAAAACTGGTGCTTGGCCTTCCCAGAAATCAAAGAAATAGTGGGGAATCTGTGGAAGGAAGAGGTTCGGGGATCTTTCATGTTCCAGCTGTCAAGAAAGCTAGATAAGCTAAGGTCAAAAATGCAATATTGGTGCTTAGACAATAAGAAGGTTTGGGGGATCAACTGGAGGAAACTTACAAAGGATCTCCGAAGTTTAGGGATGAATGTAAGCACTCTTCATGAAGGGGAGGGATACATTCAGCAAATTAACCTTCTTATTCCGGAGAGTCAATTGGGATTTAGTTTTTGGAAGCAAAGAATGAAGGCAAATTGGATTAGGTATGGGGACTGCCCAACGCCTACAATGTATAGGAAGGTGAAGCAAAGGCAGTTACAAAATTCGATTCTTACTTTAAGGAATGAGGAGGATATGTGGGTGGAAGGGGAAAGAGGGGTAAAAGATGTGATTTTAGCCTCAATCAAGGACATTTACAATCCGATTACGAATGACAATCACGGGGAATATATATATCTCCTGCTTCAGCAACTTGCCATACCTTGTCTTTCAGAAGAGGAGCGGGATTGGCTTGACAGGGACTTCTCGGAAGAGGAGATTAAGAAGGCTATGTTTGATATGCATTGCTCTAAATCTCCCGGTCCAGACGGATTTACGGTGGATTTCTTCAAAGTTTATTGGAATGAGGTGGGACGGTTGGTGACTAATAGTGTTATGCAATTCCTGAGGACAGGGAATATGCTCAAGGAATGGAACCAGTCTTTGCTAGTGTTGATACCAAAGGTGAAAATTCCAGAGATTGCTAATCATTTTAGACCAATCAGTCTGTGCAACACTGTTTACAAATGCATTTCTAAATGTTTGGTGAATAGGCTACATTTGGTCCTCCCAAGTCTGATTACGGAAAATCAGCATGCCTTCATCCCCGGCAGGTATATGGAGGACAATATCCTCCTAAGTCATGAACTTATGCACCTTATAAACTCAAGAAAAGGCTCTAGTTTCACAGCTGTTAAGATTGATATGTCCATGGCTTATGATAGAGTGGATTGGCTTTTCCTTCTGAAAGTTTTACAAGCTCAGGGGTTTTCAAGTCACTGGATAAGGATGATATCTCAGTGTATCTCAACGGTAAGTTTTAAGGCAATTATTAACAGAAAAACTACTGACCATTTTGCCCCTAAGTGTGGTCTGAGGCAGGGAGACCCTCTCTCTCCGTATCTTTTCATTATTTGCATGGACATTCTGTCGAGAATGTTACACCTGGCAGAGGATATAAATCAATTCCAAGGTTTAAAGGTTTCGCGTCGGTCTCCCTCGATCTCTCATCTCTTCTTTGCAGATGATGCTATGCTCTTCTTCAAGGCAAGTAAGGAGGCATGTATGTGTATTTCTGACATCCTCTTAAGGTTTGGTAAAGCTTCCGGCCAAAAGTTGAACCTCCAAAAGTCTCTTATTAAGTTCTCGCCGGATGTCGATAATGATATGAAAGTTGCCATAAAACAAATACTTTCTATGCCGGAAACTGATAATATGGGGATTCATCTTGGAGCCCCAATTGACATTCAGGGGAAAAAGAGTACTCACTTCCAATTTTTGGTTAATAAGGTCACAGAGAAAATCATCTCTTAGTCTTCCTTAAGACTCTCTGAATCAGCAAAATTAATTCTTATCAACATAGTGCTGGTAAGCATGTCTGCTCATGTTATGAAATGTCTAAAACTTCCTCTAAGCATTGCAAACAAGATCGATGCATTAATCACTAGGTTTTGGTGGGCTGGAAAGGGAGCTAAGGGGCTACATTGGGTAAACAGGAACATCATCCAAATTCCTAAGAGCTTGGGAGGCCTGGGAATTAGAGGTTGCTCCATGCTCAACGAGGCTCTCCTATTTAAACAAGCAACAAGAAGGCACTTGAACCCCCAATTGCTACTATCGAGAATTTATAATAGTTTCCAACCGTGTGGAATATGTAGGTTTGTTAGTACGAATATAAGGAAAAGAAAAGGGAACCTTTCAATAAGAAGGTTAAGTCTCCAAAAAGTCACCGAGGTCTTCAAGAACGGGTTTGCATGGAAGGTAGGGAATGGGAATAACATTAGAGCAATTAGTATGCCCTGGGTGAATGGCAAAATTCCTTCAGTAAAGTCAGGTCAAACTCTTAGAGCAGCTGCGAATTGGAGAGTGAAGGATTTTATCAATAGGGAGACTCAAACTTGGGATGCGGGGAAAGTAAGGGTATGTTTCGACTGGAATAGTGCTAAGGAGATCCTGTCCATGGAACTTCCTCAATCTACTGAGGAAGAAGACTTCCTCTATTGGAATTATCATCAGTCTGGGAGGTACACTGTTAAAACTGGGTACTATTATCTTTCAAAGTATTTGGGATTAGAAGGATCCACTTTTCTAGCAAGGGATCATGATTTTGTAAAGCTGGTCTGGAGATTGAACATTCAGCCAAAATGGAAGTTGTTCCTTTGGAGACTTTTTCATGATGGTATTGCAGTTAAAGATAATCTGGCTAGAAGGGGAATACAAGTGGATGCAATTTGTGATCCTTGCGGGGTAGGCTTGGAAGACAGCCAACACCTCTTCAGGTTCTGTACTCTGGCAAAGGAAGTTTGGGAGAATGGCTCCCTAACTATTTGCCCTGACTTTCCTGGGTTCAACTCATTGAAAAGATGGATCCAGCACTATATCCTGCTGTTTAATAGCGAGGATGGTAAGCATAGCAATCGTTGCACCGTGTTTATTGCAACACTGTGGGGTCTTTGGAAATCTAGGAACGCTAGATGTTTCAAGGGTTCTACAGAGACGATAAGTTCAGTAAGGGAATTTATTAATCTTGCCATGAATGATCATGAAATTTTTAATCTTCAAGCAAGCCCAACTCCGGATTTGGAGGTTTCTGACCGGGGAAATCCGACTTTTCCTCCGGGGTTTTATCACGTGCATCTGGGAAAGGATAAAAGTGGTTATGATGATTTCACTGTGGAAGCCGATGGTTCCTGGGATAAGAAGACTAGAAGGGCAGGGATAGGTTGGGAAGTTAAGAGTATTCAACAGGGCAATGTAATGGACGAGGGTGGAAAGCATGGAGTGGCCGCTTCAGCAATTCAATGTGAAGCTTGGGCTTGCCTAGAGGCAATGAAATGGGCCCGAGTGAAAGGTAAACAAGGAATTCTTGTTTTATCTGACTTGATTGGTCTTTTGACCAACTTACAAGGGAATCATGGTAAGGATATTTCGATATCTTGGTTACTTAAGGAGTTAAGAATATTGGAGGCATCTTTTCAAAGGTGCACGATTTTGAAGGTACAGCGTGATCAAGTCCAAAAGGCGAACGACATTGCTAGGAAATGTCGGACTAATCTTTTGACTCTGTTGTAGGTTTTGTTTTTACTTTCCTTTGCTATTGTCAAAAAAAAAAAAAAAAAAAAAAAAGTTTCGTGGGTTTATAAATAACGTTAGACGTCTCAATTCTTATTGCCATATATAGCTCTTCTGTGGGACTTGCAAAAAACCCAAAAACACTTATAGTACCAAAATTTTATTACAACACATTTGACAAAAAAAATTAGATGGTATTCACTATTAAATTTTTAAGGGTAATGCTATATGCTTAATAACTTCCTTTTTTAGAATTAAGTTGGAAATTTATCGATAATTCATGAGTAAATCGGTGTAATAAATGTTAATTTAATGTCTATTCTTTCCACTTTTAGCTTCTTATATATGCAACCCTAAGGGCTGCATATAGCTTTTTCCATTTTTTAATTATACACATTATTAAACATTTAAACTTCAACTAAGGCCTTATTCACTTTACCTTAAAAAATAATATTCAGTAAAAATAATTTTCGTTCAATTAATATAATTTCAATTTAGTAAACATAAGTGCAGTCCATTTCAGTATAAATAATTTCAGTTTAGAAAAAATAAGTTCAGTTTAGTAAAAACCAGCAATTATTTTAAAGAAGAAATATAGTAGAGAATTATTAAAAGTGGTTCAATAAAAATAATTTAAGTTCATCAAAAAAAATTTCAATTCAATAAAAATAAAATGAAATGAACTGGGCCTAAATTGAGAAGAATTTAGAAAAGTTGTAAATGGTAACATGTTCTAAACAATTCAGTTTAAATGTTTTGCGGTTTCTAAATGTTTCAGTTTAAACGGTTTGTGGTTTGGAATCAGTTCAGTTTACACATGTTGCGGTTTAATATGGTTCAATATAGACATAGTTTTTTACTGGGTTGAAACAGATATAGGATAGAAACAGTTCGAATCAACAACGGTTCAAACCGTGATTGTTCTGATTCGTTATTAGTTACTGTTCTTATACGGCTTAACATCAATGGTTAGTTAAGTTTTGGGTTGACTATAAACAATTCAATTTTTTTTTTTTTTTTTGGTTTCAAATCGGTTTATAATCGGTTATGTTCCAGCTGATTCGAATCGGTAGCAAGCAATTTAAAGGTTTGATTTAAAAATTTACAATGCTACCGTAGTGACTACTGACTAGTGACAATTAAGACTAGTCGGTGAGCCCACAAAGATTTGACAACATAACTTACAGCCTGTACCCTTTGAGACTAAAATCTCAAAGAGCTGATGTGTGAAATTAGGGCCACTTAAAATGCCAAAATTTTGCTAAATTAGGAAGGTTTGGTACTTTGGTTGGCCACTGCCGTGGACGGCAACAATATTAGGAAAAATTTGTTCCTTAAAGTCCACTTACTTCTTTGGATTTTCATCAAAATTAAGAAACCTTTGATTATCCCTCCTCTATTCCTTATTTTTTTTGTCCCATTCGACTATTTATGTCTTTTTAATACGTATTTTCAAACATATATTAAAAAATATGGCACGATTCTAACAAGATCTCACATGCATATATTATTAGTTATTGATTAATAAGAATTTATGGTCAAAGTTTTAAAATTTGACTCATACATTTACAATGGGACAAAAATTAAAGGACAGAGGGAGTATTAATTAGTCCATATAAATACACTCCCTCCCCCCTATTCTTTCATACTTAGCTCATCTCTCTTTCTCTCCCTCTCTTCTACATTACTTAGTGTGATAAGAAGAATAACATGGCTTCACAGAAACAACAGCTTGGCTCGGGAAAAGACTACTATGACCCTCCACCAGCTCCGTTATTCGATACCGATGAACTAAGCCAATGGTCATTCTATAGAGCTGTCATTGCGGAGTTTGTAGCTGCTCTTATTTTTCTCTACATCACTGTTCTTACAGTGATTGGAAACAAAGCCCAAACCGACCCCGCCATGAGCCTTGACGCTTGTGGCGGTGTTGGGATTCTTGGCATTGCTTGGGCTTTTGGTGGTATGATCTTTGTTCTTGTTTACTGCACCGCCGGTATTTCTGGTAAGATTCCTACAATCCTACATTCCTACAATAGCTTAAACGTTGGACATATCCGTTTACATTTTCTTAATTTTACACTTTGTTTTGGTGAACGAATATGCATGATAAATCATAAATGTATTAGATATATAATCTCTCTTTGTTCTTTTTGTTAAATCTATGATAAATATATATACTAGTTACCTACTAGATCATTAGCTTTTTATAAATAACACAAATTCTAGAATAAAATGACTTTTTCATTTACTTATTTTAAGATGGGTTAAAATTATTCTAAAAGTATTTACATTTATACTTATATTATTTATAAATGTTATCATTCTTTCAACATAACTTTTACCTTTAATAAACACTCATAATCTATTAGATTAATCATATTAAATTTTATAAAACGTATCTATTAAAAATAAAGTATGTTAAAATACAACTGAACTCATTACAAATCAAAAATTACCATTAAATGTGTTAAGTTACCATAAAAATTATAAAAGTTACCTTAAAATTGACCGTTTTTTTGATAAAATTAACAAAAGTCCACCTTATACTAGATTTATTTGTAAATTGTAATGTTAAATGTATGCTTTTCCTATTAAAGATATATGCATACTAGTTAGCTACTTGCTAGATCCCTTTGTTCTTTTTTGTTTTATATATATATATACATATATATATATATATACATAGACCCGGTTTGGTAATTAGCTGATAGCTGATTCTATTAACTGATTTGACTAGTTGGTTATATTAGCTGGTTTGACAAGCTGGTTATAATTAGTTGATTGTGTAAAAGTATTTGGTAAATAGCTATTAATTATTAATTGTTGTAATGTATTTAATAGCCAAAAAGCTAATTGTTCAATAAGCTAATTTAAAAAGCTCTTATAGCGAGCTTTTTCTAAAAAAGTTTTTTGAGCCCAAAAAGCTCTTTTACTAAGCTATTTACCAAACATCCAAATTAGTTTTTTTAGTTGGTCAAACCTCTAATTTGGCAAAATAAGCTAAAAGCTATTCAAAAATCTCTTTACCAAACAAGAACTAAACGATAATTCATGCCATATTATCATATAATTGGAATGCACGCATTCTATTAAAACATTGAAACTAATTATTAGTCTTAATTGTATTCTTTGTTAAGTAAATGTAGCCTTCCTTAATCAACAGCTAATGTTAGACAAATTTACGTATATATCTTTATTATTCAATTAAAACATTGTAATTAAATTTGTATAGTAGGTTTATTATTTTACATATTATTATGTAAAATTAAAATTAGTGAATTTTGTTGAGCTAGGTGGGCACATAAACCCAGCAGTGACATTCGGGCTGTTCTTGGCTCGAAAAGTCTCACTGCTGCGAGCCTTGTGTTATATGGTAGCGCAATGCTCAGGAGCCATATGTGGAGTAGCATTAGTTAGGGCGTTCCAAAGTACATACTACGACAAGTATGGTGGAGGGGCGAACAAGCTGTCTACTGGGTTTAGCACCAGCACTGGTTTAGCCGCCGAGATCATCGGTACCTTCGTACTTGTTTATACTATTTTTTCTGCGACTGATCCTAAGAGAAGTGCAAGGGACTCACATATTCCTGTGAGTATGCTAATCTTTGTTTATGATCATTTTTCTAAGTATTTTATGAAGTAAATATTCACAATGCATATTCTAAATCAGATCTCATTCGAACGCATATAAAATACTCCCTTCGTCACTTTTTATTGTTTGCAGAATTGCACTATTGCGCTTTGGTTGTTATCTTTGACATAAGATGAAGTGTCTAAACATTAATTTTTCATTATTGTTACTCTTATTTTATTGAGCGTATACATGATTAAAGCTGAGCATTAAAATACCGTGAAATTCAATATATAAAGAACAAAAATGGACGGAGGTATACTAATGGATTAGAATCTTACATATCGCTCCTTCCACGTTTATCTTTTGTGATTATGAAAATAAAGTTATAGATCATTTTTGTTGATCAAGTGGAACTATGTGTCATTTACTCATTTTATATATACACTTTAAAAATTAAGTCATGTTATGTACATTCTGCTATTAGAAAAAAAAAAAAAAAAAAAAAAAAAAAAAAAAAAAAATAATAATTTTGTGTGTGTATGTTTATAATTTCATTATACCTTGATATATTTTAAATGGATCTTTTACTGAATTAACTACTTGAGCAAAACTCTTTACCAAATTAGCTATTTATAAATATTAGTTTCAAATCATATGCATGCAGTGTGTCAAGAATTGATTTTCTTTGTGTTGTATTAGTGTAGAGAAGAGTATATATACAAACTAATTCGGGCTTATAAACATACTTAGCCCAATAATCTAAATGTACATGGCTTAACAACCTCCCTCAAATTGGAGCATGCAAATCACAAATGCCCAACTTGGCTTATAGATAAGAAAATTGGTGCGTGCCTAAAGCCTTGGTAAAAATGTCCGCAAGTTGTTCCGTTGTTTTCACATGAGATGGCCAGATGGTACCTTCTTGAATCGCGTCGCGCACATAATGACAGTCAACCTCAATGTGTTTTGTACGTTCATGAAAGACCGGATTTTGAGCAATGTACAATGCGAATTGACTTTCACAAAACAAACTCATCGTACGCGGATGAGCCACTCCCAAGCTAACAAGCAAAGCCTTCAACCATTTCAACTATGACGTGACTTTTGCCATACTTTGATACTCTGCCTCTACGGAAGACTTGGAGACTGTATGTTGTTTCTTGTCTTCCAAGAAATCGGAGATCCCTCAAGAAACACTAACCAACCAATAATCGATCAACGAGTCAAAGGACAACTAGCCCAATTCGAGTCGCACCAACCAGTTAACTGTAGATCACACAATCAGAGCTAAGAAGAATACCTTTTCCCGGACAGCCTTTCAAGTACCGTACGACACGTAATGCGGCATCCCAATGTTGTTGACGCGGTTGGTGCATAAATTGAGATAGTATGTGAACCGTGTAAGCCAAATTTGGGCGAGTGAATGACAAGTAAATCGGGCGCCCTACTAAGCGTCGATACATCTCCGGATCATCAATAAACGGACCATCCAATTTTGCCAAATTATGATTTTTCTCAATCGGTATACCGGATTGCCTAGCCCCTAACAAACCTGCTTCTGCAATTATATCGAGAGTATATTTCCGCTGGCACAAAAATATGCATTCGGGACTCCGAGCAACTTCAATACCAAGAAAATATTTCAAAACACCCACATCTTTCATATGAATACATTTACTCAAATAATTCTTGAACTTAGAAATTGCAGAAGAGGAATTACCAGAAATTATCAAATCATCAACATAGACCGGAACATTGAGTTGCACATCACCATTTTGCAGAGTAAATAGAGATTGTTCAGAGTACGACTGTGAAAAATCGTACCTCTTGAGTGAGCCTGCCAACTTTGCAAACCAACAACACGGAGCTTGTCGAAGACCATAGAGAGACTTCTTAAGTCGACACACCAAGCCCGGTTTGTTTCCATGAAATCCGGGAGGGGGTTTCATATACACCTCCTCATCAAGGTCGCCATGAAGGAATGCATTATGTCCATCCATTTGATGTAGTTCCCAATTCTTTACAGCTGCAACGACCAAGAAAGCACGAACAGTAACCATTTTTGCCACGGGAGCAAAAGTCTCAATGTAATCAATCCCTTCAACCTGAAGAATGCCAAATATAACAAGACGGGCTTTTAACCATTCAATAGTGCCATCAGAGTTAAGTTTAGTCTTGTAGACCCATTTGCACCCTAGAGCTTTCTTCCTCGAAGGCAACTCTTCCATCACCCAAGTCTCGTTGTCCTCCAAGGCAGAAATCGCTTTTTGCATAGCCTATTTCCAACTCGCATCAGTCATAGCCTCCTTGAAATTACAGGGCTCACAACCTACATCCAAGGCTGCAAGAAATGTGCGATGGCCAACAAAAAATTTAGTACAATTCACAAAATGTGCTAAGGGATAAGGAGTACCTGAGGAGCTAGCGGACAGTAAACTGTAAGATGGACTCAGAATAGATACAGTATGTGCGACACAATCACGGTGCCAACCCGGTGGGTGCTTAGGTCGAAGACCACGGGCAAGATATTAGTGGAGGCGCTGCTAGATGATGTTGTAGCTTCCTCTGTGGTGCGGATTGTGATGCCAACAGCAGCATTATCAGTGGCAGCCGCTGCATTTTCAGTGGCAGCCGCTGGGTCAGTAGCAACCGCAAGTGAGCTACGGTTCTGGCTGGGCGCTGCAGCAGGGCTGCGGTGTGGGCTGTGAGCCGCAGCAGGGCTCTGATACCATGTTAAATGCGGGTCTAGGCCGCACCCGCAAACCAAGAGATCAAAGTCCAAAGGAGGTTTCATCCCAAAACCATATGACAATAAGAGGAGTAGTCCTTTAGCCTTATAAAATGTTTGACTCTCTCTTCTTTTCTCAATGTGGGACACTTACATGTGTTATTTGGTAGAATATACTTCAACACTCCCTCTCACATATAAGGTCTTATTAACTCAAGAATCACTTGATCTAATTCAATTTGGCTCAAAATACTTAATGTCATTAAAGGTCCCAAGCCTTGGGCCTGACAATATACTCAAGCTATTAAAGGTCCCATACTGTGGGTTTAACTCTGATACCATGTCAGGAATTGATTTTCCTTATGTTGTATTAGTATAGAGAAGAGTATATATACAAACTAATTCGGGCTTATAAACATACTTAGCCCAATAATCTAACTATACATGGCTTAACACAGTGATTTGTGGGTTGTACGTCATTGTAATGTTTACTTTTTTTTTTTTTCTATTTCAGGAAATATATCTACCAAAATTGAAATATATATGGATCATATGCAAAGTTCCGAAATTTAATTTTCAATTAGCTCGTCATTAGTACTGTGTTACACGATTACACATCACTCATATACAAATGCTTAGTTGTGTCAAATTTAAGAAGATTTCTGATAGTCATGATGCATGATCAACGATAGTCTTTCCTAGGGTCCTTTTCATTGCATGAATCATATCTAGAAAAGTTAAATAACTTCCAGTATCATTTTTGTGATTAGTTAAAACCATGACTAAATTAATTTTTATAATCCATGTAGTTTAGAATTCACAGAAAAAATTAGTTTGACTAGATAATAACTAACCCTATGAGACTATGAAGTTTAAAAAAGAGAGAATCAAAATTATTAAGTATCATGTTGTAATGCAACTAATGTTGGTATATGTGAGATTTATATGAATACATAATAACATATGAAAGATCTAAATGAAGGTATTGGCACCACTTCCTATTGGATTTGTGGTATTCATGGTTCACCTTGCCACTATCCCGATCACCGGAACTGGCATCAATCCTGCTCGGAGTCTTGGAGCTGCTGTTATCTACAACAAGCACCAGATTTGGAATGACCATGTTAGTAAACAAATCCCTACTCTCCCTCTCTCTCTTAATTTCATAATCACTGTACAGAGTAAATTTTACATACACGTTTAATTTATAACAAATCAAATACTAAATCACATTTGATCTCTATGAGAATATATAGTGAATATACATTTTCTTACAAATTATCTATGTATTAATTCAAATGTCACTTTTAAAAATAATGCTCCAAAATTTAAATCCTTATATTCTACAGTTCTACCCACTCCAAAAAAAAAAAAAAAATAAAAAAAAAAAATAAAAAATAAGCATTCTCTACCATACCTATTCCACATGTTTTATTTTTAAAAATTTGTCAAATGACCTTTTTAATGACACTTTTTATCAAAAGCATTATTTTTAATTTTTTTGGCAAAATCAAACCGTAAAAATAAAAATTATTGTTTTTAGAAATAACCTTACTGAACTTTCACAGGTTGTCCGGCAAACTTCTAGCGTTGACTCACATGTATAGGGCAAGTGACTCCTATTTTCTATAATTGCACCCTCATTTCACTATTATTTTCCCTATTGAGAGCGAGATTCAAAAGACATACACTTGATTACTTGAACTTAATATGTTATAAAATTGGAGGAAAAAGAGGGGTGCAATAAGGGAATTAAGAGCGAGTCACATGCCCTGTGTAAGTGAATCAACACTGAATGTTTGCCAGTCAAAGCCCGAAAGTTGAGTAATGTTAGTTTGTAACAAATTTTTTTTTTTTTTTTTTATTGTCTGACTTTACCAGATAAAATTTAAACCGCAGGTTTTGTGTACTGTGTGGGCAGCTAATAGACAAGTAACTCCTAAACGAGTAACACTTGATCGATTTAGTAACCCCTCCGACCTAGTAACCCCTGATCCCTGACCGACCGAGTAACCCCAAACCTAGTAACCCCTGACCGACCAAGTAACCCCGAACCTAGAAACCCATGATCGAATAAGTAACCGTACCTAGTAACCCCGACCGACCTAGTAACCCCGGACCTAGTAACCCCTAACCATACCTAGTAACCCCGGACCTAATAACCCCTAACCGTACCTAGTAACCCCGTACCGGACCGATAACCCCTGACCTAACCACAAATTCCACTGCTAAGGCAGCCACCAAACCACCAATTCCAACCACCACAACAATCAACCATCTCCCCACGACCAGCCGCGCGCCTCCAGCCACCATCACGACTAGTCGCCCGCCTCCAGCCACCAACACGCCCAGCCCCCCGCCTCCATCCACAAACACGACCAGCCATCAACACAACCAGTTCAGCCACCGCAATTCACGAAATCGCCACCAATCACACCACAATTCACCAACAGCCATCAATCACACCGCAATTCACCAAATCGCCACCAGTTGCTCGGATTTGCTCAAATATAGGGGTTTTGCCTCACATTTGCATTTTCTTCGATAATTACCAACAAAATTGTGAAAATTAAAAATTGAAAGAATTGAAGAAGATGAAAGTGCAAAGGAAAGAGGTAAGAGAGAGAAAGCTTGAATGGTGAAAGATTTTTTTGAAAAAAAAATAAATAAATAAAATTGTGGCTTGGATGAGGACCACGAACAGATATGTTCGCTTGGAGAAGAAGAAAAGAGGAGCGAGAAAATTGGTGAAAGAAATTTTATTTAAAAAAAAAAAAAATTAAAAATTGTGGCTGGTCACTGTGTAGCCCACATAAAAGTTTGTGAAATTAAATGGTAATTTTTAACAAAAAGTATCTTTTAAAAAATTTAATCTGAAAATTTTTCCTATTTTTTAAAATATATATCTTATATATTAACTCGGCTACATTATAGTATGAAAAAAATGACCTAGGCAACAAAATTAGTTTGCTTGGTCTGAGTATATATTTTGAATGTACTTGTATTTGTATATTATGTATATACTGGCAGTCGCATGGACTTATAACACATTTGTTTTGTTCATAATTTTTGGTAATGTAGTGGATATTTTGGGTTGGACCTTTCATTGGAGCAGCTATAGCGGCATTCTACCACCAATTTATTCTTAGAGCTGGCGCTGTCAAAGCTTTGGGATCATTCATGAGCAACAGCTCACAAGTATAAATATACTCTTGAAAGAAGATTAGTCTTATTATTATTGAAATTGAAATTTGTTTGAATTACTTTTACAGGATTTATACAAATGTAATCATTGTTGTTGGAACATTATTTAATTATTCTGTTTATGAATCTCGGAACTATATTATTATGATGCTCACAAAGTCATAATACTCTTCGTTAATTGCAATTCAATTGTTAACTTAACTTTTGCTATGAGCGGAACCGATTTTCCACTACTCGATTATACTCCCTCGGGTCACAAATTTTAATTGGGTCAGGTAATATAGGCTGTTGAAAAGGTTCACTGGGCCGGCTATTAGGCTGTGCAAACATCCTAATAGCACAGGGCCTCAAACCTCTAGGGGTCCAAAAATATAAGAATAGCAAATAAGTATAATATTTATTTTAGTGCAACTATAATGTGTTACCGTATTCTTGCATAGTTGGTAGGAAGCTTTTTAATCACACATGATGTACTCGGTTCTAATATTGTTGCTTTCATTTTTATGGTTTTTTTTTTCCCTTTTTTTGCTTTTACCTTTCCTGTTCTTTTGATTTTTTTTTATTTGGCTAATTTTGTTTTTCCTTAATTATTACATCTTACTAATTACTTTAATATATTTACTAGATATTATTTGGGCCTTAAAAAATTAGCAAACAAAAATTAAATTGTGAATTATTGTAAATAGCACAAGGCCCCCAAATTGTTTGAGACGGCCGTTCACTAACATGTAAGGTTGCATTCATATTGACTTTGTTTTGGGCAGATTGTCTTTCAACTAAAAAAATAGTTTGTACCTTTCTAATACTAGTCAATATAATTGAATGCTTAAACCTAAATATTCAATCAAACACTAGCATAGTGCCCGTACGATACACAGTTTATAAATCAAACTATTAATTTCGTTGGGAAAAAACGAAGATAATTCAATTAGTAATAAGTTGTGAAAAAGATATACTTCTATAAATATTTTTAAAATTAAATAAACAATAATAACACATCCATAAATATATAAATTGTGATAATCAATCATTTGAAATCAATCAAAGTCAATAAAATATATTTTAAAATCAACCTAATTTATATAATATATTGATTACACATGGAATTATATAGATATAAATAATAATTTATACAATAAAAGATATGAAAAGTATGTAAATCACAAATGATTATTTTTTCTAAGAAAGTGAGTCACATCACAAGTATATGATTTGATGAATATATATAATGAATAATTTAAAATAAGTAGTTGAAGGTAAAAAAAAGAAAGAAAAATACAATTTTGGAGGAAATAAATAGCACAAGGACGTGACATTTCTGGTGTCTGTTTCAATATTATGTTATTGATTTTTGAATAGATTTTTTATCCTCAAAATGGCAATAATCGATGTCAAAACAGATTAATTCTTACTAGGTTGAATCAGTTTAGGTTGGGTTGAGTCAGTAGCTCTGTACTAACAAAGAGCTTCTATAACTAATACTAAAACATCAACCGTTGATATCATCCTATTATAAAATTGGCACAGGTCATGTTGTGATTAAAACATTTCCCTCCAAAATTATAAATGATGTCAGCATTTAATGAATTTATTTTCTTTTATTAAAATTCTGGTCAGCTATATTATTATTAGTATTAACCACAGTTTGAGACTGATCATCTCAGGGATTGGCTGAGTGACTAGGCATAGCACACTGCTTTGCCTCGGTCGGACACCTAATAGACAATGGCCAAGTTGAAGCATACAACAAGTTAATCTCCAATGATATCAAGTAGAAGGTTGAGAAAGCAGGTGGCTTGTGGGATGATGAGTTGGTTAATGTTCTAAAGTTCGTTCGAACAATAGCCAATTGTTCAACAGGGGAGACCCCATTTTTTCTAGTCTATGATGCTGAGGCCGTGCTCCCAATTGAAATGTATAAGCCCTCTTTACGACTGATGCTATATGTTGAATCGGCTAATTGGGAGGCCATGAAGACCGCCCTAGAATTTCTTCCAGAAGCTAGGGGCAACGCGGCGCTTAGACACGAAATATATCGTCTAAGAATGATAAGGGAATATAATCGAAAAGTTTCAAAGCGGCCGCTTAAGTTGGGAGATCTTGTTCAGAGAAAAATGGAAGCGGTAGGCCGAGCAAAAGAAGATGGCAAGCTAACCCCTTATTAGGAAGGGCCCTACTAAATTAAAGAAGAAGTAAGAGATGGTACCTACCGTCTTAAAGACTTGGATGGCCTTCCTATTCCACGTACATGGAATACGGACAATCTCAAAAAATACTATATGTTAAGTTTTTGTACTTAGCCTTAAAAGTTGTATATACAACTAGGTCTGATGACTGAGCTATGTAATTAAATTCATACGGCCAAACAATGTAATCTTGACAAAATTAATGAAAAATTCATACATTGTTATTAAATTTTTTGCACATTCATTGCGTACGTCTAACTAATGTTAAGCAGAAATGCCGCCTAAAAACGGAAACAAAGGTTGCTTGTCACATAGTAGATCGGCCCTGGGAAGGGTTGAACATCCGGGTAAAATGCCTAACAAAGGTTTCTCCCAACAAAGAACCTCGGTCGCAATGGTCAGACTGCTATTAATTCCATCCGGCTATGAACTTGGTCGAACAGATAAGAAATAAGGTAGCCTAAAAATTATCTAAGGCATTTAAACCTAAGGGTAGGGCATACCTAGGCTACCAAGCCCTATAAATACTTAGAAATTCTCAGGTTGAGATCATACTTGAAATTTTATGAGCACGTCCGGGAGAGAGTATTAAAGGATGACTCGGTAAAAGCCAATTAAACGGCCGCATACCTAGGCTACAAAGCCCTAAAAATACTTAGAAATTCTCAGGTTGAGATCATACTTGAATTTTCATGAGCAAGTCCGGGAGATAGTATCAAAGGACGACTCGACAAAAGCCAATTAAACGGCCGCATGCCTGAAATTCATTCGGCATTTGCCTAGTCCAAGGGCAATCATTTTTATGATTTGATTAACTTACAAATTCTCATACACTTCAAGGTATAAAATCTACTAAGTTAATCAATCCTCTTTGAATATGGACTAGACAAAATACCAAATAAAGGGGCATACCCCCAGTACATAATCATTCGTGTGAAAAATGCATAACAAAACAAGGCATGAAAAATGCAAAAATATGCTAAGTATGAATGAAGAAAGGAACTCGCATAGATTAAAGCCGCTCAAACAGGCGGCAATATAAAGAAGTTATAATACAGAATCGCTTATAACAGGCGGCAAGGATAGAAATTGTTCAAATGAAAAACGAAAAGCTTAGATCATAAACAAGTTGCAGCAGAAGAGCTCTTCACTTGGCAGAATCCTTGGTGCCATCCTCCTTGGCTTGCTCATCTCCCTTGACGGGTTCCTCCTCCTCATCTCCATCATCATCATCATCCGCATCACTCTGAGGAGGATAAGGAGTTTCAAAAAACTCAGGGGCAGGTAGCTCGACAACCCTATACTCCTCCATAAGGGAGATATGGTTCATCTGTTTGACAAAGAGCTCGTGGTAGTACACTACCTTACTGATGTCAAACATCATGGCGAACGTGTCTTCAAACCGGTCCTTGAGCCTCTTTTCGGCTGACTACTCAATCTGGACCATCTCTTGAGGAGAGATCTGCTTGGGAGCCTTGACATGTTCTTTCAACTCCTTCACCTCTTTTCTAAGATGCCCGGTTTCCTGATTGAGCTCTACCGCCTCCTTCAGAGTCGTCTCAAGGGAGACACGGCCAGTCTCGAGCTCGGCCTTGAGCTTCTTAGAAGCTTCAATGCCCTCCTTCCATTGGGAGGCGTTGGCGACCGCCTCATCCTTCTCCTTTAGGAGAGCCTCATGAGCGTGTCGTTCCTGTTTAAGGGCACACCCATTCTAACGATGTCCTTAGTTTGTTTGGCCGACTTCTCGCTCAGTGCATTCAGGTCGGCCTTGTGCCAGATATCTTGGAGGGCAAGAGTCCCGGTATTTTCATCCTAGATCTTTTTGATTTCATCCCAAGCCTCTCGGATTTGACGCTGCTCACGGGCGCGCCAATCTAGGAAGGAATTGACCTAAGGAAGAGGTGTGGAAGGACGGAAACAAGTCAGTAAAAGAAAACAAGTGCAAAATAAACTAAGTACCAAAGCTCGAAGAAGCCTAGATACCTCAGCGCAGTCGTTTATCATGGGGCTGAGGAACCCTTTGTGGATTCCTCGAAATTTATCCTGAATATCCGTCGTGACGGCCCCTTACCATGGCCTTTCGGACGGCCTTGCGCTCGGTCCCGGTCAATGATTGACCAGGAGCGCGTAATTCCATCTCCTCGCCAATGTCTGCAAAATATAGACAAGTTAGAAAATTAGAATAAGGCAAAGATAATAAAGCCAATAGAAAGATCAGATTTCCAACGTTTTGATAAATATGGTGGAGTACGAGAGGGCGAAAGGGCGTAGAGTGCTTAGAAACCCTTTTGCCGCATTCCCTAAAACTCGACATGCGTAGTCGAGGTGTTGTCACCAGCGTTTTGGTTTAGGGACGACTCCCCCTCTTCGCCCTCACAAGCGGTTTTCTTTTGGACCACATCAGTTGGTTGTGGTTCCAAGGGCTTCGAGGCCCCACTTGGTGTCAGTTAGGGTTGTTCTCCTTTGGGCTGCTCTTTGGCAACCCACAACCTTTACTTGGCCGCCTGCGCCTTTAGGGAGTTTTGGACGCAGTATTCTTGCGAGATTTGGACAACCCCTCATCCTTAGAAGCAGATGATGGAAGCTTCCTCGCCAGCTTTGGAGTAGCTGTCTAAAAAAAAGGAAAAATACAAAGAATAAGATTTGCTGGCCGAGCGAAAAATGGAAAGTACAACCTTCCCAACATACCAGCATGACTAATTTGGAAAAAATCATATCGTCTGAACAAAAGTTGGAAGGATGCCCTTCCTTAAATAGCTGGTCGGACGCCAAAAAAAAGAAGAAGAAAGAATGAAAGATAAGTACCTTCTTGGTCGCATCATAACTTTGTCTAAGGAGCCTGTAGACCTGTAGTGTTCGAGTTGGAACTCGAACATATCAGTCTCACCATTTTTCTCTTTGTCCAGTTGAGACTTGGCTTCGTCTGATAAGACAAAGAACTAAGCGTTAGATTGTACTTCAAATAAATATTT